GGTGCCCCCGGATTCCAGCAGCAGGAAGGCCACACCTGGCTTCTGAAGAAAAGTTTGTATGGCCTCAAACAATCAGGCAGAATGTGGTACAAATGCCTGACCAAAACTCTCAAATCACTGGGTTTCCATCCATCTCCAGCTGATAAATGTACCTTCACAAGGGATACCAAAGGGGGGCTGGAGAAAGTCCTAGTGTATGTCGATGATCTTTTATATATAGGGCCTGACAAGGGGGGAAGTATTATATTTGCCAGGACCCTACAAAAAAAGTTCACTCTAAAGTCTTTAGGATATGTGGACAAGTACCTAGGTGTACAAATCATCACTACACCAAAAGGTTTTGCTCTCTCCCAAAAGGAAAAGATAGAGGAACTCTTGGTGAAATGTAAAATGGAAGATAGCAAGCCAACGGCTATCCCAATGCAGACCGACTATTATGGATTGGCACACAAGGATAGCCCAGAGTTCCAAAATAATACTCTATTTAGGTCAGTGGTCAGCTCATTATTATATATAAGTAATTGGAGCCATCCAGACATTGCCCTGGCTGTGAACCTGCTATCCAGACAAGTGGAACATCCTACCCAGTTCCACTGGTTGGCCATTAAAAAGCTATTAAGGTATCTCAAGACCACAGCAGATTACGTGCTTTGTTTGGAACCTGAGAATAGAGACAAGACCCAATTAGAATGCTTCGCGGATGCGGACTGGGCCAGAGATACCAAAACCCATAGGAGTACTTCGGGCTTCTTGGTACTGTTAAATGAGGCACCCATCCATTGGCATATGGGGCAACAGAAATTTGTTTCCTGCTCCACCACTGAGGCCAAATTTGCATGCCTATCAGAGGCAGGGAACGATCTGATATGGTTTGATGCCTTAATCTCTAGCATCTGGACACCACCAACTTTGCCCATCCAAATTACAGAAGACAACACCGCAGCCATAGGCATTGCCAAAGCCTATGCAGTGGGGAAAAGGTCCAGACATATTGATATCCGTTATCAAAATATTAGACAACTAGTAGAGATGGGGTTTATATCTTTAACACACTGTCAGACCAAACATCAAACAGCTGACATTTTCACAAAACCTCTACCAGCGGATAGGCACAAAGATCTGTGTAGGAAGTTATGTCTCACAGGGTAAAATCTGTTGTGCATTGCATTAGTGTGTTTGCATGCCATTGGCTCACAAGGAGGGGAACTGTCAAGTATTTGCAAGCCATTGGCACATGTGTCATACAGACACCAGTGGAGGCAGAGAGTGTCTCCACCCCTATGTGGAAAGGAGGGGCTTACCCTGAGTATAAAAACCCCTCCAACCTTTTCCACCTTGCTCTCTCTCTCTCTCTCTCTTTTCGCATTTGTTCCTCATGAGATTTGATCTCTGTTGTACATAGTTAATATGCTTTATTATATGAATAAATACATTTAAGACATTTATTCATGCATCTGCCTCTGAACTCTTCTATGCTCCTGGATGTTTTCTATGATCCCAATTCCACAGTTTTTATCACTTTTTTTGTAAATCTTACATGGACTTCTCTTGGTAGCTTATTTCTCATTGAACATCTTGTATACACTCTAAAAACCTCATCCATCTCATTTAATATCTTATCCTTGGTTTGTTCCATCACTTCTGCCAACATCTCTGCCATCAACTCTGGCAAATTTTCCCCTTTCTCTTCCTCTATGTTTTGAAATCTTAAATAATAATCAGATCGCTCCATTTCCAGAGAAATGATTGTTCGCTCTTGATTTTTGTCCACTGATGTCAATTTTTCCTCTAATTCTTCCACTTTCTTTTCTGTCAGATCCACTTTTTCCTCTACTTTTTGAATTCTTTCTTCATTTTTCCCAATCATCTCCTTTACTACTTTTAGATCTTCTTTCAAATCATCATGGAGCAACTGTATACGATTTTTTTAATCCATTGTTTCCGATGTTTTTAGTGATTCTTTCATAGAGGGACTTGCTGAATGCAGCTGTAAATTTCTTCATCTCTTAACATTGTAAATCCTGAATTTATAATCCAGTTATGATTTCTGTTTGTAATCCAAATATCTAACTCACCCCGATGGGAATATTAGAAAAATAAAAAATATAGAAAGCCAAATTACAAAAAAAAAGGGGGGGGTCTAATCTGCCCCCAAAAAAGAATATCCAAAAATACTCCACGAACAAAAAAAAGAAAAAAGCAAAGAAAAAGAAAAAAATTCAAAAGATGAACAAGAAAAACTTGTTTTTATAAACTCCTATCCTTTTTCAGGCTCTTCTTGCCTTAATGCTTCACTCATTCAAAGAAATAGAAAACAAAAAAACCAAAGAACAAAAAATTTTCTCCATCCTTTGTAATAGACACAAAAAGAAAAAACAAAACCAAGAAGAAGGAAGAATATCCAAAATACCAACTCCAAAACAAAGTACTTCAAAAGGCTGAAAAGGACAAATACAAAAAATAAAAAATCCAAAAAAGTAAAAACAAATTCCGTACTCCAATCTCTTCATTCTTTTCTCACACAACTTTCTCTCTTCAACAACTGTTCTCTTATCAGCACAACCAGAGTTGTCAAGGTCAAGATAGATTTATAACTAACTCAAAGTCTTTTTAAGGTCTTTTCTTTCTTACCACTAGATGGCACTGCAGTATAACAAAACTATACACTTCCAAGCTTCAATTCTTCCAATCCATTTCCACTTAAATTAAGTTCATTCATAATCATTCCATCCTTCTCAAAATAATCAGTTCATTTTCTAACTCTTCTTAATTTCAAAACCACTCTTTGAAATCAATTCTCAGTCCAATTTTCAATTCATTTACCTCATATGAAAGAAAAAAAACCTTTCCCTCTTTTGGGCTTTCACTTTCTTCACTGCTTCAGTACCAGAAATGGAGAGCTGATACACACCCACTCTCTCTCCTCGCTTTAGCCCCTTCCACTTTATATTATATTAATTTCAAGTGGGTATAAAAAGAAAACTTTTAACTATAAAGTCAGGTTCTCACCCAGATGATGCACTTTCTCTTGATTCTACCACTCCGTTGTGACTGCCCCAGATTCATGGCCGCTTAGTGGTTCATGGCCATTTTCTCAGATGTCTTGTTTGAAAAGCTACCTTTGATCAACCTGGGAATTTGCGGATTCCCTCAGTTAATCAATCCATGCTTCTCTTAATTGCTGTCCCTCCGAGATGGCTTAGGTCAATTAAGACCCCCGATCAGCTGAGATATTAGCAGTTTTTTCAGAGTCCCCCAAAAAACGCGCTGTCACACCACAACGCTGGCCATGCCTCTCCTGCTTCATCACATTTTTGATAGGGTAATTTTATTAGTAATTTTATAAGACACAGCAAACTATTACAAATCCTGAAACAAGTGGGATTAGATGATAAAGACATCCGAATCATAAAGAATCTATATTGGCATCAGGTAGCAAATGTGAGACTAGACCAAAAATATTCAGATGATGCAGAAATACCAAGAGGGGTCAGACAGGGCTATATTCTGTCTCTGCTGTTATTTAATATCTACTCTGAGTCAATTTTCAATGAAGCACTGGAAAACATTGATGCTGGCCTCAAAGTAAATGGTGTTCAGATCAACAATTTAAGATATGCTGATGATACAGTTCTGCTTGTCAGTAAGCATGAAGACCTTCAGCTCCTCATCAACAGAGTCTCAGAAATATCTGAAAAATATGGCTTGAAGCTTAACACCTCAAAAACCAAGATCATGGTCATCAGCAAACAATCCATTAATTTACCACTGATAAATTTGGAAGGAATACCATTAGAAAAAGTTGAAAGGATCACGTACCTCGGTTTTAATTTACATGAGAGCTGGGACATGATCAGTGAAGTAAAGACAAGGATAGAGAAAGCTCAAACAGCATTCTTCAAAATGAAAAAGGTTTTCTGCAGTCATAACATAAGCCTAAGACTGAAAATCAGGCTTGTCAGATGTTACATCTGTTCTATCCTGCTCTACGGAGTAAAGAGTTGGTCTCTGACAGAAAACCACTTGAAGAAACTAGAAGCATTTGAAATGTGGATTTACAGATGGCTGTAATGTATAAATTGGGTTAACAAAATCACAAATGAGGAGGCGATAAGCCACCTGGGAAGGCCAAGAGAAATCATCAAAGCCATTAAAAAGTGAAAGTTAGAATATTTTGGACATGTGATGCGACACCCAGAAAAATACGGCATCCTTCACTTAATCCTCCAGGGAAGGACTGAAGGCAAACGAGGTCCAGGCAGAAGAAGAACATCATGGCTTCAAAACCTAAGGGACTGGTTTGGACAAAACTCAGCAGCACTTTTTCATACGGCTGTTGATAAAAATAGGACTGCCAACATGATTGCCAACGTCCGATGGCAGATATGGCAGAAGAATAAGAAGAATTTTATTAGTAGATGGTGGGTATGCAGTGAACATAATATAGCACATTTTTGATAGGGAAACTTTATTAGTAGACGGTGGGTAGGCAGTGAACATAATATATCACACTTTTTTCATAGGGAAACTTTATTAATAGATGGTGGGTATGTAACATATCATTAAGGCCTCAACATCTTTTTTGTAATGTGGCCATCAAAACTGGATGCAGGATTCCAGGTGTGGTCTTACATTTGGTTTCTTGCTGATTTCAGAAAGATAGAATCACAGGGCTGGAAGGGACCTCAAGAGGTCTTCTAGTCCAGCCCTATGCTTCTATGTTCTTGATTCTATCTTCTAGTCTGAATAGGGAAGATGGGAGGGTGAAGAGCTAATCTGCTATTCTCTGCTGGCCTTGCATAAATGGCTGAGTCTTGTGTCTTCAGAGCACATCTTGACTCTTCATTGGCATCAAACAGCTGTGCTTTCTTCTTCACTTCCTCTTTCCGCAGTGAACGACAAATTTAAAAAATGGGAAAAAAATCAACTCTGTGGCTTTTGATACATCCTCTTTCTCTTTTTTTTCTTCTTCTTCCTGCTTCATTTGACAGATGGTCCCTTCTTCCCTCAGCCCAGGTATTTCCTCTCTGTTTTCAGACCATGGGGAGGGGTCCCAACGAAAATTTCTTGCTTGCTCTGTCCTCCTCATGCCCCCTCATAAATTTTCTTCTCGGATGGGACACCCAGATTGCTCCTCAATCATTGGCAGCCATTCAGCCGGGAAGGGGCAACTAAAACATCCCTTCGCAGGAGGTGAACACCATTCCGCAGAGCCCAAGGGAATCGCACAACACTCGACTCGACACCACCACCAAATCGTAAGTTGGGGGGCCTGAGTGGGTTTGGCTGAAATGCACAAACCTTGTCAGTTTCAAGGACATTTTTTACCTATGCTTTTATTTGGGGGTTTCTAGTGTTTTCTTACGCTGGCTCAGTGCCGCATAAAGTGAGATGGATGCTGCAGAAGTTTAACAGATGAGTAAACTTGGGGAAGTCTCAGCCTCCCTTTGGTTCGAGAGTGGGGTGAAAACTCAGAAGTGGGAAGGAAGCGGAGACAGCCTCAGTTGGACTCGGCTGGGGTTCATCGTGTCTTGTGTGAATGCTGCTCTTGAGTGAAAGACAAGACCACCAAGGTCTTTTTTCTCTTTTTTGTTTTCCTGGAAACTTCTAAAGGAGCTGTGGCAATTAGAAGCAGGACACCCTTCTGGAATTACAGAATGGCAGAGTTAGGAGGGACCTTGGAGGTCTTCTAGTCCAACCCTCTTCTCAAGCAGGAGACCTTATACCATTTTGGACAAGTGGCTGTCCAGTCGTTTCTTTAAAAACCTCCAGTGATGAAGCACCCACAACCCCACAGTATTATTCCTCCTCCTCCTCCTCATTTCCATCATAAACTCCCCTCTCTTCTAGCACTGATGATATTATCTAGTTGGGTCATGAAACATCTGCAAGAAAACCGCTAAGCTCAAGGATCACCGAGGACCCTCCCAGTCAACCCTTCCTTCCTTCCTTCCTTCCTTCCTTCCTTCCTTCCTTCCTTCCTTCCTTCCTTCCTTCCTTCCTTCCTTCCTCCTCCTCCTCCTCTCCTCCTCCACCCTTCACACCCCCTCCCTTCTAGCACTGATGATGCTACCTAGTTTGGTCATGAAACATCTGCAAGAAAACCCCCAAGCTCAGAGAGCACCAAGGACACCCTCATTCCAACCCTGAGCTCCAAAGATTCCCGTTTATTGGTCGGACTTCAATTTGCTCAATGTTTTCTGAAGGCCGTGGGTGGGTTTCCCATGCCACGGTGGTTCCCTCGTGCTCTTCTTTTCCCAGGAGACACCATGAAGACCATCCAGGCGGTCCAGGGCTTGTGTCTGTTGGCCATCCTCATGGAACCTTTGCAGGTAGGAATGGGACTTTCCACCTCTTTAAATGGGGGGGGGGTTGCAGGATCCCTGTGGGCTTCACTCCCCCCCGCCCTGCTCTCCGCTTGGCACAAAACCCACTTCCTGTTGTGAAGATTGCGGCTGGGACTAAAAAAGGAGGGAGGGTGAAAAAGAAACTCTCTCATGTGGGCCATTGTGAGGCCATCTAAACTGGGCTGAAGCTAGGGAGGGGGGGTTCTTCCAGATCCACGGAGGCCACAACATCACCCATGTTGGGGGGGGTCTTCTCCCTTCCTTCCACCCTCCCCCAATAGGCCACCCCTCCTCTAAGGCTGGGATGGCTCCTGCTCCGAATGTATTTATGCAAAGGGGGTTTGTATAAACAGAGGCAGAGAATCAAAATCACAGGATGTCTTAGTTCCGTTTTGCAAACCCTTAGTAAGGCCCCGCTTGGAAGCCTGCATCCGGTTTTGGTCCCCGTGTTACACAAAAGAGATTGAGACTTTGGAAAATGTGCAGAGAAGATGATGATTAAAGGCCTGGAGACTAAAACATAGGAAGAACAGTTGCAGGAATTGGGTTTGGTCAGTCTGGAGAAAAAAAGGAGTAAGGGGGAGATGATAGCAGCCTTCCAGTATTTGAGGGGCTGCCCGAAAGGAGGGGGGGTCCACTTATTTTCTTTTTTAAAAATTGATTTTTTTTATTAATCATATTTCTTTTATTAATCATATTTTTTATGCCGCCCACTCTCCGAGGACTCTGGGCAGCTTACAACAATTGACAGTATACTAAATAGCATATTGCTCCCAACAATCTGGGTCCTTATTTTACCCACCTCGGAAGGATGAAAGGCTGAGTCAACCTTGAGCCGGTGAGATTTGATCTGCTGATCTGCTGAACTAGCAGTCAGCTGAAGTAGCTGCAGTACTGCACTCTAACCACTGCGCCACCTCGGCTCTTTTATTAAACAGTTTTTTTCCATTTTATGTCACAATTTTCATCATCTTTGCAATGCTTCAGTATCAGTATATATCCAGTATAAATACATTTTCCCCTTTATATGTAATTACATACATGTGGTTCCCTTATATATACTAATATACTAATATATTCATTTATGTACATTTATATACAATACATAGTTGTTACTCTTTTTTCTTTTACTCTTTACATTTTATATCACCTCTTATCCTACTATAATACCGAATCCACTTTCTTTGTTGATTTCCTAATCTTTGCATCTGTTGTCTAATCAGTCATACCATAAATTCCATATCAGATAATATTCAGTTTCTCTTCTATCTTCCATTGTTAATTTATCCATTTCGGCACACTCTAACACTTTCTTTATCACACTTTCCTCTGACGGTATATTTTTATTTTTCCAGTTTTAGGCATAGACTGTCCTGGCCGCAGTTATTACATGTAGTATGAGATATTGAGTTTTTTTGTCATAATTTCCTGTAAGTATGCCTAATAGGAATAGCTCTGGCTTTGGCTCTATTTGTTGCTTAGTTATTTCCTCTAACCGCTTTCTAATTCTTATTCAATATTTTTTTGCTGTTGCACATGTCCACCACATGTGGCAGTATGTTCCTTGGGTTTGTCGACATTTCCAGCATTCCAGTGATCTGGTTGGAAACAGGTTGCACTTATTTTTTAAGACAAGAAACAATGGATGGAAATTTATCAAGGAGAGAAGCAACCTGGAATTCAGGAGAAACTTCTTAACAGTGAGGACAATTAACCACTGGTTGCCACCAGAAGTTGTGGGCGCTCCATTACTGGAGGTTTTTAAGAAGAGACCGGATAGCCAATTGTCTGGGATGGTATAGAGCAGGGGTGAAATGCAAAATTTTTCCTTACTGGTTCTGTGGGCGTGGTTTGGTGGGAGTGGCTTGGTGGGGGGGTCATGTGACTGGGTGGGCATGGCCAGCTCCACATCACTCATGTTTTTTTTTTATTTCATTTTCTTTATTTTTTTATTATTGAAAAGTTTTATGAAAAATACAAACATTTTCACCCCCCCACCCTTCCCCCCTCAACCCCCCCTCCCCTTCCCACCCTCCCTTCCCCTCCCTCCCCCCACCCCCCTCCCTAGACTTCCCAGAACGAGCACAGGGTATAGCATTCACAAACCAAGAACTAAAATGTGCTAACAAATTATTACATTTCATATTCTCCCTAGGTCCTTAACTCCTTATAACTCAGAAAAAACAAACATAAACTACTTAATATTATTTCATTCATAAGCTATATGAATCTTCTTATTCGGATACTTCTTCTGTATGTAATCAATCCATTTTGTCCATTCCGATATATATCTCTCATTTGAATGGTCTTTAAGGTATGATGAAATTTTTGCCATTTCCGCCAAATGCACAACTTTTAATGTCCATTCCTCAATAGTAGGTGGATCTTCCTTCTTCCAGTACTGTGCCACCAGTAACCTGGCAGCCGTTATTAAGTTCAAAATGAACTTTGAGGGGCCTGGTGGCGCAGCTGGCTAATAGCCTGTTATTAACATTCAGCTGCCTGCAATTACTGCAAGTTCGAATCTCGCCAGGCTCAAGGTTGACTCAGCCTTCCATCCTTTCTAAGGTAGGTAAATTGAGGACCCAGTTTGTGGGGGCAATAAGCTGACTTTGTATAAATATACAAAAGGATGAAGGCTATTGCTTAACACATTATTAGCCGCCCTGAGTCTCTGGAGAAGGGCGGCATATAAATCAAATTAAAAAAAAAAAAAAAACAGCTTAGTCTCTATTACAGTACAATCCGTAACTATTCCCAACAGAAAAAACTGTGGTGTAAATTTAATTTTTTTCTTCAAAATATTTTGAATAATCCACCATATTTTTATCCAAAAAGCCTTAATCTTTATACATGTCCACCATATATGAAAATATGTAGCATCTTCACACTCACATCGCCAACACTTGGGTTGTAAATTTGGATACATACAAGCTAGTTTTTTGGGGTCTAAATGCCATCTATAAAACATTTTGTAAAAATTCTCCCTTAAATTTTGTGTTTGTGTAAATCTTACATTTCTAACCCATATCTTTTCCCATGTTTCCATCATTATTGGTTCACCTACATTTTGTGCCCATTTTATCATACAATCCTTGACTAAGTCTGTTTCTGAATCTATTTCCAGTAATGCATTGTACAACCTTTTTATGTGCATTTGACCTTCATCTCTTATTTGCTTTATCAAATTCTCATCCTGCTGCAAAATACCAATTTTTTGATCTTCTCTCCATCTGGCCAGCAGCTGTCCATATTGAAACCAAGTCTTAATAATCCCTTCTTCTTTTAATTGTTCCATGGATTTTAACTGTAGTCTGACTCCTTCCTTATAAAGGAGTTCCTTATATGTAATCTTATCTTGCTTTTGCTCTAAATTTATGTTCTCTATCGCGTGTCTGGGTACTGTCTATATTGGTAACCTATCATTTAGTTTATATTTATACTTTTTCCAGACACGCAATAGAGCATTTCTTAATATATGACTTTTAAAAGTCTTATCTACTTTCTTATCATACACTAAGTAAGCATGCCAGCCATAAACCAGACCATATCCTTCAATATTCAATATCTTTTCCTCCGTTAAGTTTATCCAATCTGTGATTGCTGAGAGGGCAGCAGCTTCATAATACAATCTTAAATTGGGCATCTTAAGACCACCTCTTTCTCTAGTATCTTGCAATATCTTTTGTTTGACTCGTGGTTTCTTCCCTGCCCACACAAATTTGTTTATGCCCTTCTGCCATTCCTTCAAGTTCTCATCTTTTTTAAGTATTGGTATCATTTGAAAAAGAAATAGAAATTTTGGTAAAATATTCATTTTTACAGCGGCTATCCTTCCCAGCAAAGACGGTTGTAGTTTTTTCCAGTTGTCTAACTCTTTCTGTATTTTGTGCCATAATGGTTCATAGTTATGCTGATATAATTTCGTATTTGCAGTCATAATATAGACCCCCAGATATTTAACCTTCTTAACTACTTCAAATCCTGTTAACCTTTCTATCTCTTTTTTTTGGCTCCTAACCATATTTTTAGCTATTATTTTTGTTTTAGCTGCATTTATTTTAAAACCAGATACTTGTCCGTATAAGCAGGTTATATCCATCAAGGCTGTAATCGATTGTACCGGTTGGGTTAAGGTAACAACCAGGTCATCCGCAAATGCTCGTACCTTGTACTCATGCTGTCTAATTTTAATTCCCTTAATTGTATTCATCTCGCGTATCTTGTTTAATAAAATTTCCAGCGTCAAAATAAACAATAACGGGGACAAAGGACAGCCTTGCCTTGTTCCTTTTTCTATGTTAAAAGCATCTGTTAAACCACCATTAACTATTATTTGCGCTGTTTGTTTTTGATATATTGCCTTAATAGATTGTACAAATTGTTCTCCAAATTGCATCCTTTCTATTAGTTTTAGTAAAAATTGCCAATTCAATCTATCAAAGGCTTTCTCAGCATCCAAGAACACAAGCACTGCGGGGACCTGGTTGTTCCTTCCCAAATACTCTAATAAGTTAACAATTTGCCTTACATTACCCTTCATTTGTCTGCCATTTATAAAACCAGTTTGATCATGGTGAATCATTTGCTGCCTCACCCGGCCCCTCCCCTCCCAGCCACTCCTTTCTGTGAATGGCAGGAAACTGGGAAGGGGGATATTCCTGCCTACCATCCTTCCCTCAGTCTGTGCTGAGCTTGAAGAATCGATGACAGGCAGGAAAACCCCCTTCCCCATTTTCCTGCCTTTCATGAAAACGGCTCCATTCCGAACCTTCTGCATTGCAATCCTGGGATATTTTATTTTATTTTATTTTATTTTATTTTATTTCATTTCATTTCATTTCATTTCATTTCATTTCATTTTATTTTATTTTATTTTATTTTATTTTATTTTATTTTATTTTATTTTATTTTATTTTATTTTATTTTATTTTATTTTATTTTATTTTATTTCATTATTTCATTTCATTTCATTTTATTTTATT